AGGAATTAAAATCTTTTTTCTGCATCTTTCATGGATGCCATGTGTGCTGTTTTTGCTATGCATCCACTCAGAGTGTCTTGTCTTAAAAAATGTCTGGATTATTGTATCAGGAATAGTGTGTCCAGCAGGAGCAGGGAAATGATTGTGCCCTGTACTCGGCGCTGGTGAGGCCACGCCTTGAATACTGTGTTCAGTTTTGGGCTCCTCACTACAAGAAAGATGTTGCATTGCTGGAACATGTCCAGAGGAGAGCAACCAAGCTGGTGAGGGGTCTGGAACACAAGTCATACAAGGAGTGGCTGAGGGAACTGGGGTTATTTAGTCTGGAGGAGAGGAGGCTGAGGGGAAACCTTATTGGCCTCTACAACTGCCTGAAAGGAGGCTGTAGCGAGGTGCGGGTCAGCCTCTTCTCCCTGGTAATGGACAATAGGACGAGGGGGAATGGTTTGAAGTTGTGCCAGGGCAGGTTTAGGCTAGACATTAGGAAAAGCTTTTTCACAGAAAGGGTTGTCAGGCTCTGGAATGGGCTTCCCAGGGAGGTGGTAGAGTCCTCATCCCTGGTGGTATTTAAAAGAAGGATAGATGAGGTGCTTAGGGACATGGTTTAGTGGTGGGATGGCAGTGTAGGTTAACGGTTGGACTTGATGATCTTAAAGGTATTTTACAACCTAGACAATTCTATTCTATTCTATGACTGCATTTCACTGTAATGTAAAATTTCTAGACTAAACCTTTATTTTAAAAAACATAATTTTTATTTTCTGGTCAGAGCAACCAGAACTAAAAACTGGAAAAATTAAATCAGTGCTTGCTTAAGCCATTATTTTCACTATTATATTGGGTCTTATAGTGTCCCCTTGAAATCAGCATTTGCACCTTACATTGCAGTGATATAGTCCCATTGCCTTTGCTCATAGTGCTCACTAAAAGAATTGCTTACAAGTTTCTAAGTCTGAAAGATTATAAAAACTGTTTTTAATCTTTCTGTTCATTTGAGTTATCTTATAATTCTGCTATATTTCGCATCTGCTATGATTAGCAAACAGCAGTGTGATCATACAGGTATCATACAAGAACGTCTGAAGAAAACCTTGAAAGAAGGTTTTAAAACTTTTTTTTTAAACTTTTAAAAAATATTGCAAGCTAGACTGCATTTCTGTATTTTCTGATAAATATTATTAACTCTTAGTATACCAGATATTTTAGATATTTTGTTTCATTCATGGGAAAATAATATTAAGAATTTCTAGTGAAGTAAATCATTATTGGTGTAATTATGGCTGCGTTGTTTTACTCCAACCATGGACTGGGTTCATAAAATTCTCTCTTTTCCAAGATCAGATTATCTTTTCTTTTCCTATGTAGGATCCCGAGAAATAAGGGATTTAAAACCCAGGAGATCTGGAGGAGGAAATATTGCCTTATTCTTTGTTATTTGTTCAAATTGACAGCTTTTTCCTACTACTTATATTCCTAAATTATAAAAGGAAGTGGCCTACATGTCAAAATAATCACTGTTACTTTAAACTTTACATTTTAACACAAAACCACCTACAAAAGGCACTGACTTACCTGAACTATTTTTGCTTCATCACAATGACATTTTTAAGAGAGCAGAAGAAAGAATTAACTGAGCTATAATGTTCAGACTTATGTTGGTGATAAGCCTGGAAGCTAAATTGTTCCTGAGGAGCTAAAGTGAAACATGGGAAAAACACTTGAACCCAATATACTGGTCTTGTTTGGTATCATAGGTTTCAGTATTACTCAACTGCTTTGCCTACTTAATTTGTGTGAGCAGGCAGGGGAATCAAATATCCTGGAGAAAAGGATTCAGAGGGCTGATCATCCTGCAAAAAATCTTCCGGGATTACTGAGCGTTTTACATGTCATATTTCAGTTCCCTACCTAATTAACAAACAGAACAGAGCTGAGAGACAGCACAAAGAGATGATATGATGTGTGCAGTGATTTAAACAAAATTACCAAATCTCCTTTTAAGCTCACTGGACTTGAAAGTGCCTCATCTACCTCTTTTTTTAATATCCTGAGCACTTAGTGTATGATTAAAAAAAAGGAAAAACATATCAGTTGCTTCGATCGGATAACAAAGATTGGAAACAGGTTTATACTTTAGTTGGAATACAGTATTCCTCTTCCCCAAAAATTCATAAAGAGTAGGCAAGTTACTGGTGTAATCTAAGTTGTGCATGTGTCATAAGTAATTCACCCTTTTATTCAAACAAAACAAAATGGTCATCATAGAATGCATGGAATGTTTCCTCAGGGGCAATGAAGATCACAGGCAGCCTACCATCATGTTATTTTATTATTTAATTCTCACTTTCCATGTATATTTGCTAAATTTCCTCAAACACTTGTAATTCCAAATACTAATCCTAGTCCAATTTTTTATAATATATAGATATTGTTTCATCTATGGAATTTCTGTAATTTAGAAACAACTCCAAATACAGTTACCCCAGATTTGTGCTGAGGTAAATAGGAGTAAAAGCTCACTTTCAAAGTCTATGTAAGAAAAAATTTCACAAGAGCCATGAATACCAGTGTCAAGAACCATTCAGCCAGCTGGACAATGTTTTGAATGAACATAATGAATGAAGAAACATGGAAAAAATATTGGGAAATACAAAGACTGTTTTGCTAGAGAATCCTAACCCTACAAATATTTATGCTTACCTTCAGATGGTCCAGTGTCATCCATTGTTCTGTCACTGATGCTATGTGTTTTGAAATTACATCATTGAGGATAGCCTCACCTGAAAGCTCTGCCATGAGCTGCCAGATGGCAGACTGATTCAAGGATAACACAACAGTAAGTCTTGTATGATTTCCTTAATTTATCATAATTTTCCTGCTGGATACTCCACAGATATAGTTTCTCTGAACACCTGGGAGTTTGTTATACACATATAGACATACTTGTATATGTATGTAGCTATATATATGAATTATATGGTTCAGTGGCATAATGACTAATTCTTTAGTGCTTACTAGCAAACACCAGGCATATATCCAAAAAATTCCTGATATTACAGTGTTATCCTATGTATAGAAATTAAGCTCCTAAAAATTCTACTTAGACTGTACTTTTACTCCAATCTAAACAATGTATCATTCTCCCTGAAGGGTAGAAAAGGGAATAAACAACAAAAAGTGTTTAACTGCACTTTGTTTCAGCTTTATAATTGAGTCTGAAGAGAGAAGTTCACCAGCTCTACCTCTGAAAGGGTTATAGGTATTTTTTGTCACTTTATATATACATTTTATTGGTGTTTATTTCTCTGAAAGATAAGGTAAGCTCAAATTCAAGGCTGTCCCTGGTCTGAATCAAGATAGTTATAATAGAAACAACATTAACAGCAAATTCAAATGTAATTAAGGTGACAGTTCTAGAAAAATAAATATTTAATCACACAGTAAAAAAAATAAATAAAAAAAGATGAAAAAGAAAAGCAAATAAAATTACAACTTAAGATATATATTAGCAGTCTGGATTCCTCCATATATGCATATCACCTTATTATGTGTCTGTTGTGGTTTAGCCGCATCTGGCAACTAAGCACCACACAGGTGTTTGCTCACCTTCCTCCCCACAGTGGGATGGTGGAGAGAATCAGAAGAGTAGAAGTAAGAAAACTCATGGACTGAGATAAGAACAGTCTAATATTTTGAATAAAATAATAATAATAATAACAATAATAATAATAAATTATTATGAAAATGACAAGAGAGAGAGAGAGAAACAAAACCTGGGGGAAAAAATGTGATGTAACTGCTCACCACCTGCTGACTTACACCATGCCAGTCCTCAAGCAGGTATCACTGCCCCCTGGCATGCTCCCCCCAGTTTATATACTGAGCATGATGTCCTATGGTATGGAATACCCCTTTGGTCAGCTGGGGTCAGCTGTCTTGGCTGTGCCCTCTCCCAGTTTCTTTTGCACCTGACAGAGCATGGGAAGCTGAGAAAGTCCTTGACTAATCTAGGCACTGCTTAGCAACAACTAAAATATCAGCATGTTATCAACATTCTTCTCATGCTAAGTCTGAAACACAACACTATGCCAGCTGCTAGGAAAAAAATTAACTCTATCCCAGATGAAACTAAGACAATGTCCATTAGAAAGACTGCCAAAGATTTAAGACTCCCTTCCTTTTTCTTCATTATAATGAACTCAGCCTCAGAAATTTAATTTGCTATATATACTTCAGCACATGTAAAAATATATAATGCTCATCAAATGTCAGTATTGTTTTACTATTATTTTTATTTCACGTTTAGTGATATATTTATTTATTTACTGATGTATATGTTATACTTAGTAGGGTCTTACAGACACATAACCTCTATTCTCAGTTCCATGGCTACTGAATATGAAAGGTGGAATCCCCCATCTGGACCATAGCGCAACCCCTGAGTGGTGCAGCAAATTGATATCTGACTCAGAGGATGAAGATTCTTTAAGGATTGTCAGTAATTTATGTCTGCTGCCCCTATCTGCCATCTCCTCTCACATGACACAATTTAACCAAACACTCTGGAAGGAGAATCAGGCCCTTCAGAAGAGAATCAAAACCTTCAGCAAAAGAACAGAGCTTTTCCTATGGAGAACAAAGCCTATTATCAGAAGAATCAAAGTATCCAAAGACAGAACAAACTCCTTTGGGAAGAGAATAAAATCCTTCAAGAGAAGTATAGGGACTCTTCAGAGGAAACAAAGCACCTTGCAAAACAGCAAAAGGCCCTCCAACAACAAAATAAAGCCCTCAGAGAAGAGATTAAGGCTCTCAGAGGATAATAAAGAGCTTTTGCAATGGAGGAAAAAGCCCTTCAGCAAGATTTTTTAGCTTTATTGGAGGAAAACAAGGAGCAGCTTAAGGCTCTTCAAAAGGACAACAAAGCCATTCAGGAAGAGGAGAAAGCTCTCTGTGAGGAAAAAAATGTCCTCAGTGAGGAGAAATTTGCCCTCCAAGAGAAGAAAGGGGCCCTTGGTGAGAAAAAAGCCCTACAGATTCAGGAGGAAGGTCTCCAAGAAGAACACAATGTCCTCCATGAATGGTATAAGATATTCAAGAGGAGGAATAAAGCAATATAAAATAAAGTGAAGAATAAGATGCTTAGAGAGATTTAACAGGAGGAGTAAAGAGTTTACAGACAGTAATTTTCATTGTTAGCCAGATATTATGCTCTAGTCTTTATAACAGAACTTCAGCAGCAACTAATGGATAAAACTAGGCATAAAGTGGTCTGTTAGGCTTAGTGCAAAAGCCTAGGAAGTATCAAAGTGCTGAAACATGGGTGTTGGTATCTTGGATCCCTGAAGCCTAATAAATTACTGGCAATGTGTAATACAACAAAATGTATTAAAATACAGAATACTTTTTAGTACAGAAAGAAAAGGACTAGAAAACAAAATTCTCTAGTCATGGGTCGAAAATCTCAAAGAGAAGTGATATTGCAGGCAGTGGAACAAAGACATGTGTAACTAGCACCTGAGACAAATTTATATTTCTTTTCTTTTGCCATATGCTAAACTCTTAATATTAATATCTCTGGCCTTAAAAGCCAGATAGGCTTTGGAAAGTTGAGCACAGTGGTGTACTAGTGGACAACTAGCCTGAGAAAACTGATGCAATTTAGAAGGCATATTGTCCTGGAGAAGTATTAAGAATTTTTTTCTTGTACAGATGGTTTCCCAATGAGAACCCTGAGATATCTTGTCTTCAATTTAGAGATTTTGGATTCCGACCTTTCCTTTACGCAGACACTTTGCAAGTTGGAAACATTCTTGGCAGACATTTATACAGATCTTCTTTTAATGTTCACCCAGAGAGAACTAAGAAGACATGAACAGTGGACTACAGTTAAGTACTTGAACATTTTTGTGGGTGCAGGCTAAATCATGTGACTACCTATGTAAATATCATATAATCATTGTTGAATACGATGTGTTTTAAAAAAATTAAAAGAACTGCAGAGCCATAGAATTATTTAGGTGAGATGTGAATTCTAGAGCTCAACTGATCATACACTGAAAAGAAGGACAGATTTCACCTTTGATAAGAGGAAACATTAGGCAAAGTTAGATTAGAACAGGGAAAGACAACACCTCTGTCTCATATTTGCCTTGTTCCACTGCTTGATTCAACCATCCAGTTTTGGACAAGTCAGATGTTATCAGATCACCAACCCATGTAGGTCAGTAGGGGCTTATTTTCTACAGCTTCATGTTCTTCCACGTCTTGAATGATTCTGCCACCTGAAAGTTCACATTGCTAATTTCTGGTTACATTTATGACTGCTGTTGCCTCAATGGTAAAGAATATTCATGACCTAAAGTAGATTGGAAACTTTTGTTACTGACCAAAACAGTTTGTCTTTCTACCAGCTTAGGTGTCTTTTCAAGAACAGTCTTACAGCTGTTTTGAGATGTGTCTCCTCTTCTACAGTGTCCATGGTAGGCCAGGCACTTAAGGTACAGTGTGGTAGCTGTTGTGGGCAAAACAGTCTCAGCTTGGGGAATTTTACTTAATTTAATCTATTGCTAATTATATTCAAAATTTTAATTATTGAATTGGGTATTGGGGAAAAAAAAGAAAACATAAACTATCAAGGAAATACTTTTCCCCCTTGTGCTCAACTTGATTCCTCCTCCTTCCACATCTCAACCTCCCTTGTTTTTATCTCATGTTGTACTTGTCCCCCTCCAATTCTTCCGGCCATGTGGGAGGGTGGGGTGTTGCAGATGGATTAAGAGGGAGGCAAAAATAATCATAGAATCATATAGAATCATAGAATGTTTAGGGTTGGAAGGGACCACTAGTGGTCATCTAGTCCAACCCCCCTGCAGTGAGCAGGGACACTGCTAACTAGATCAGATTGCTCAGAGCCCCATCCAACCTGGCCTTGAATGTTCCCAGGGATGGGGCCTCCACTACCTCTCTGGGCAACCTGTTCCAGTGTTTTACCACCCTCATTGTAAAAAATTTCTTCCTTA